CTCCACCATCTCAGGGTCGCTGCAGCCAAGGCTGCCCTCAGCCTTCACCACTTCAACCAGCCCCTCCTTGCCGGTGAGGACAAGACCCAGCAGTGCTCCTCTCCTAGTTGGCACGTCCACCATTTGCATCTGGAAGTTATCATCAGTGCACTGGAGTGTGATATATGGAGTGATAATTCGTGTCAAGAAAATGGTTGATATTAATAAAGAAGGGGGAGATGTGGGAGCATGGCCATGGGGGTGGGCTGTTGAGGGATTTTTGAAACAGCAAAGATCCCATGGCTTGGTGCAGCTGAGCAAACCAAGCGACCAGGACGACTATGAGAAGTTCCCACATTGCCCAATTGAGGAATTTAGAAAAATATTGTTGCCAGCAGCTGGCTTCAAGGATGGGATGTACGTGACTGCTAATTCTATGAGGGTTGTTTTCTTGCAGGTGGGGTTGTTTTCTTGCAGTTGTTTGTCTGAATGCTTTTGACCGATAATCTTGTGTAAGGCACTATCTGCCCCTGTTAAGTTTACTACAAAAGTCAGGCTATTCTGATAATATAGGGCAGCATGATCTGACCATACTAGCGTCTGTCATGTTTTTGGCCATTCTTCCTGCAAGAGTCGGCAAACCTCATGGTTAATGATAATATCAGACTCTTAACGATGAAGCCATCAGGAATGTAAAAGAGTTTAGAGGGATCAAAGAAGGGTGATTCAGGAGACACCATGCAGTCTCAGGTTGCTTGTTCTCCAGCCATTAAGGCATGGAAGTTGCTGGGTGTTTGCTGTTGCTGTTCTATGACCAGTGAAAAGTTGTTTTGAAAAGAAACAACTGGGGCAAAGGGTATAAGAGGGGAGCCTGCCTTCAGGATAAAAAGGCAAAACGATGTGATGAAGTTATGTCATCAAAGAAGTAGAAAGAAGGAATGAATAGGGACAGACTAGCAGAACAGAGACCAGGCACATTGATTGCCTCATGAAGAGAGGTTCGGCCAAAACTCAGCAAACCACTCAGAGAAGCTCGTACAGAAAGTCGCTGGAAATAGGTGCATTGGAGCTGGGAAGAAGCTCAAGCTGAGAGAAGCGGACCCGTGCACACAGCTGCCCCTCGCTGGTAAGAGCTGCTCATTATGGGGAATCATACGTCCTTGGAAACAAAGACTGTCCTGATAACCTTACAGCTTATTCTCCTTATTAACAATCAACAGGTTATGAGCCTGAAACATGGGACCAAACTGAGGTCCAGGTGTGGGACTCTGCAACTAAAAACGACAAGGTTGCGGTGGGATTGCTCGGCACCTGGTAGCAGTCTCTGAGGCCTTAAAGAGCCGTGTGGGACCACAGTCAGAAACGTGGGGTTTGCCAGACACTGAGGGAGCTGCGGGCCCATCCACCGATCCTTCTGCTACACCATCACCCCCCCACCGCTCCTGCCATCACAGGCCTTTGCTGTTATGTCCCCTGGTGACCTGGACGTGCCTTTTGACCCAGGCCCTATTGGCCTTGAAAAGGATATGGAAATGTTCCCTTCAATCCAGGAGGAACAAGATACATAAGGCCCAAAGGCCGAGTTTGCTTAACAACTTAAAGAGAGATGTGTTGTTCCCATGACTAACTCTGGAATTATCCAGTGTTTGTAATCAAGAAAAGGAATGGAAAATGGAGACTGTTATACGATCTGAGAAAAATTAATGAAGCGATGGAAGATATGGGAGCACTCCCAACCAGGATTAGCAACTCCACTCTGCTCCCCCAGTCATGGACATAATAGTGATAGACTTAAAGGATTGTTTGTGAAACACTTGCTTTTTAAAACTTTGCCATGTGTATGATTCATATCTATAGGCATACTCGGGGTTAATATGTAAAACAGTGTTCTGTATCTTTAGAAAGTTCGATGTTAGTGTGTACGTGCTGGTAGAGCATAGACTCCCCGCGCACTCAGCAGCAGTTTACTTTGCCTTTTATAACTATTACTAAATTCAGATCTGGATTGAAACTTCATTTGTAACAGGAGGAACCTCTGGGACTGTGGGTGGCTGGCTGAGGCCTTCCAGTAAATGTCAGGGTAGCTGAATTCCCTCACGATAAGCGGGCCTGTGATCGCGAGGCTGCTACCAGTAGGAGGCCTCGTCAGCTTCCTCATTCTGGTCTGGTGACCTATAAAGACACCCACAACACTATCCCCCATACCAGCCTGCCCCTTAATTCTCTCCCACAGACTCTCAGCTCTCTCCTCATCCTCCCCTGGGCAGAACTCAATACAACGTAGCTGCTCTCTCACATAAAGAGCAACTCCTCCACCTCGCCTTGCTGGCCTGCCTTTCCTCAGCAGGACACACCAGTCCTCGGCCACAGCCCAGCCCTGTGAGCTGTCCCACCATGTCTGTGGAATGGCCACCAGGTCACAATCTCCTGACAAAACACGGATTCCTAACTCCTCTGATTCTTCCCCATGCTGCTGCCACAATCAGCCACTTTTTGGCTGTTTTTCTCTGGTAGCCTCCAAAGTTTGGGCAATAAAGTTGTGGGTTTTTTTTTGACAGGAAAATGGGAAAGATATTTTGTTTTATGGCGTATGCAACTATTTTAAGGATGTAAGAACAGCAGCTGTGCAGAAAGCTGGCACCGTTTATAGATGAATAATTTCCTTTTTCCAGGCACATCCCAACCAGCACAGAAATGCCCCATTTTCCTGCTGGGGGCTGGAGTCCGTCACAGCTCTCCCTGTGCTCATGGAGATGCACTGAGGATCCCCAGGTGATGGAGAGTAAGGAAAATTTGGAAGAAGGGCATGCAATGCAGCTCTCGTGTGCTTTGCTGCTGCTTTTTAAAAAAATGAATCCATCCTCCAGCAGATAAGATCTCATTCCTCAGAAACCTGGGGGAAACAGAGAAGAGCCCTTGGAAGGAAATGACTGCATAAGGCAGGCAGGTGGTTTTGTGTAACAGTGATCACACAGGCCATTGCATCTCAGTGAGACAAGCACCTCCCACAGTTACTTGTGGCATGAGAGGCAGTTGCAAACACAGAGACTTTTGATGAGGGCAGGTGTTTCAAGGAGTTTAGCTATAACACAGACAAGGGAGGACAGGCTTATGAAGACAGACAGACTCAAGACTATGATTTTCATCTCTTCTGTGCCTTGTCTTTCATTTCTTCAAAACAGTCATGAGGAAAAAATGAAGCAGAAGCACACTAGCCTGCTGGTGTTTCAGAAAGAGTATTTTGTAAGGCGTGCGCTTCCAGCCCATCAGCCCCGGGAGATGCATCAGCAGCGCCTATCAAGCCTCTTGCAGGGGTGAGCTGCATGTCAGCTGTTGAAAAGAGCTCCTTACGGGGAGCAGGGCTACACTACCAGCAGCCACCCCAACAAATAGGAACACTATTTGTGCCAGAGGAGCAACAGCAGCCCAGGGTCTTTCTTTGCAGGCTGGGGAGCCAGCACAGCCTTTAGAAAAAGGAACTGCTTTCCCCCAGCTGCAGCGGCTTGCATACAGCTTCAAAATAATAAAAAAAATTGTGTGTGGGCTGACAGAAGCAGGATTGTCTGCAGCCAGCTTTGCCCAGCATTGCTCGTGGGCCCCTCACTGCTGTGTGCCCTTCTGTTATTGCTTTGCAGCAGCTGTGCAGGGCAAGCCAGAGGATGGGCGAGGAGCAGACGTGGTCGGTCATTATCAGCCCTCACCAAGGGCTCAGATAGGGAGGAAAAGGCCTCATGATGGAAAGAAATAGCAGGAATGTGCAAATTCAGCTCTCACACTCAGGACCACAGTTATTTTCCCATAGCACATGGTACAAGCTGGTGCTTTCAGGTGTGCTTATCAGGAGGGGGCAGATATATACAGGCAAATATTTCTTCTTGTTGACAGCTCAAATATAAAAACCTCACTGCAAGATGAATTATCTGGAATGATCTATTGGACTCTCCTGACATGAAAAAAGATGCAAATCATCCCACAGCTTCCGATCAAATACCCAGTTAGCAAATACAAATCCCTGTTGTGAGAGAGGTGTAGCTCAGCTATCCCTGTCTCACAGAGCAAAAAGGACTACCAAAACTGGTGAAAAGCAGAAAAAAAAAAAAATGCTACTCACCGGTAATTAAACAGAATGAAAAATCTTGCTTTGTCTTCTAAAAGTTGCAGCACAACTGTAGAGGAGCGTGGCTCTTCGCAGCTAACACAAACTAGCAGTGAAATTCTTTTTCATCCTGCAGGTTGTGGTCAAAACAAAAGTGAGAATGAGCAAAAAGGAAAAATGTGTCGGGAACGTTTCTCCCTAACCCCAACTCCTTTTTGCATTCCTAACCCTATATGTGCCTCAGTCCCGTTGTTCTCCTAAAGTAGCAGCAGCAGTGGCGGGCTGTGCCTTCCTGCAGCCTTGCTCCACGCTCCCAGCAATTAGCCAATAGCGATTAACCCCTGCCCATCACACTGCTCTCTTCCTCCCCCTCCTCAGAAGTGCTGGGAGGGAAAATATAGTGAAAAAACGATTTCTCTGCGGACGAAGCCACTCCTCCTTCTGCTCCAACATGGAGTTCCTACCATAAAACGCCCAAACTGTTCCCAGATGTGCTTCGCACAGGATGCAGCTCCCCAGGAGCTGCTCCACACACGGGTCCATAGCACAGGGTGCACCCATCAGAAGCAAACTGCTCCAACGTGGGTACCCCGTGGGCAGCAGCTCCCCCAGATGCCCTGGTCCTGCGTGGGCTCCTCTCCACGGGCTGCAGCGTGGAGATCTGCTCTATGTGGGACCCATGGGTGCAGGGGGACAGCCTGCTCCACCAGGGGCCTCTCCACAGCTGCAGGGGAACTGCTGCTGCGTGCCTGGAGCCCCTCCTGCCCTCCTGCTGCACTCACCTTGTGTCTGCAGGGCTGTTTCTGTCTGTGTTCCTCCTTCCTCTTCTCAGCTGCTGTTCAGTGTTGTTGTAGTTTTTTTTTTCTTTCTTTTGAAGTCTGTTCTCCCCGAGGCACAATCAGCATTGATACTGTATAAACTCACTTAGGATAGAATAAATCTTGTAGTTAAAATCGTAATGAGAACAAAATATTTGACATCTCGTTATGAGTCAAACTTCAGTTATGAAACTTGAGCTAACTTGAGCCAACTTGGCATTCCTCCAGCTTGGGAAACAACTGATTCAGGCAACTTGGCCTTCTGTGGCAAAAGATGAAAAGTACATCATGAGGAAGACCTACAGTCTAACTCCCAAAGACCACTGCCCACGTCCCGAAGACCCCTGCCCAAAATTCTTGGGAGGCTTTGCGTAAGCGCAAAAACTGATAAGCTAATTAGCATACGAAGTGAGAGTAGGCGGGTTTCGGTAATTCATATGTATAGGCGTTAATTGAATATTCATTGTTTCGCTGTATAAACATGAGATAGTTTGTTACTTCGAACATGCACGTGAGGTGGAAGGATCCCCCGTGCATCCAGAGCTGACAATAAAGGATACTTCGCCACTTAGAAATTTCGGCTTCGATCTTTGAATCAGCATCACTCAATTGGCAGCCACATACCAAACCTTGGCACATAAAGCCAATACACCAGCGTTACCCAAAGCCAGCTCCATGGTGGCAGGAGGTCCTGAAAGCTGCCGTGTGCAGGTTGCGGCTCAGCCCCAGCTCCCCGCAGGCTCCCCCCTTGCTAAGCAATGGGAAGCCAGAGCTACAGAGCCTCGGGGGCAGCCGGGATCCGGGCGCCACCGACCCCAACCGGAGCCTGAGGGCGGCCGCGCGGTGCCTCCAGAAGAGGAACCGGGCCGCGTCCTGCCCCGACGGCTCCTCACGGGGGCGGAACCAGCCCGAGAGCGACCCGGGGGCCCCGCGGCCGGGATTTGTCTGCGGAGCGGGGCGGGTCGGATCGGGTGTGTGCGTGTGGGGGGGCTCCGCGCACAGCCCGGGGGCCGCCCTCCCTCACCTGCCAGCAGCTCCTGCAGGCTCTGGCTGAAGGTCTGCAGCTGCCGCTCGTTCATCAGCCCCTTGGTCCGCAGGAACTTGGAGATGAAGCCCACGGCCGCGGCGATCTCGCGTATCTTGCTGGCCCGGGTGTACAGGGCGGGATGCATGGAGGCGGCGGCGGCCGGCGGGGCGCTCGGTCCGGTCGGGTGTGGTCGGGTCGGGACGGGCTCGGCTCTAACTGAGCGAGGCGCGGGCGGCGGCGCCCAGCTCACATGGCGGGGGCGGCGGCGGCGGTCGCGGCCGGTCGCAGCGCGCCGCCTCTTATAGTCGCCCCCTAGGAGGTGACGTCGGTGAACGGGGTGCGCGCGGCCGCCAATGGGGCGATCGACCACTGTGATGGAGCCGGGCGGAGGGGGGGCAGAGCGGGGAGGGGAGGGAAGGAGGGGAGGGAGGGAAGGGGGTGGGGTGACGTAATCGGCTGTAAACAAATAGAGCCGGGGGCGCGCGGCGCGCGGGCGCGCAGGGCACGGCGCCGCGCTGTATCCGGGGGGAGCAGCGACACGGCTCGCGGAGCGCGCCCCGCCGCGGCGCGGCACCAGGCGGGCTGCACCCGGAGAAGGTGGGAGAAGGAAGAGGGGAAAGCACCCCCGCGAGTGCAACACCAAAGGGGGATGAGAACAGCAACGTGTTCTGCGGAGAGCTCCAAGTGCAGCTTTTTTTTTTTTCTTTTTAAGGTGGAAAATTCGCTCCTCCCCTCGGTTATTGCACACCCTGCTCCTACGCGAAGGTGCAAATGCAATGCAGCCTGGTGTTTACATGTTCGCTGCTTCCAGCCGGAGAGCAGAAACACAACCACTGGAGGCACATTAAAAAAAAAAAAAAGTCTTTTTATTTTTTTTTCAGCAAAAGTAAATTAATAACGAACTACATAAAAATAAATCTGTGACATAATTTGAATAAAACGTGAAAATACAGCACTTGGGGTGGTGTGATGTTGGAGGTGTACCTGAACAGCGCTTCCAGCCTGCTCTCCGCGCTCAGGAGCGATTCTATCCTGATTAAGGAGGCAGTGGGGAGGCAAGGACAATCCCCAGACATGGACTGTATATCTCGAAACAAGACACTGGAACTCATGGTAAGGAAGCGGCAGACGGACAGAGAAACAAATATAAGGACTATACATCTCAAAACTGGACATTGGAATTCATTATCAAGATACAACAAATGGAAGAATTAGCAACAACCAGCTCTCGCAATTAAGAAACGTGCCAACTCAGCAGATTCCTGACCAAAGGTGAAAAGTACACTGTGAGGAAGACTCGGGGTCTTCCTCCCAAAGACCCCTGCCCACGTCCCAAAGACCCCTGCCCACAATTCTTGGGAGGCTCTATGCAGGCACAAAGTGCCAAAAGGCTAATTAGCATGAGAAGCGAGGGAAGGCGGGATAGGTAATGAATATGTATAGGCGCTTGTAGAATATTGATAGATTGATTGTATAAATTCCAGACTGCTTTCCGCTTTGGGTATGCACGATAGGTGGAGAGATCCCCGTGCATCCAGCGCTGCAATAAAGAATACACCACTTAAAGGAATTTCGGCTTCGATCTTTGAATCAAAAGGCAGGCCAACAAGGCGAGGTGGAGGAGTTGCTCTTTATGTGAGAGAGCAGCTACGTTGTATTGAGTTCTGCCCAGGGGAGGATGAGGAGAGAGCTGAGAGTCTGTGGGAGAATTAAGGGGCAGGCTGGTGTGGGGAATAGTGTTGTGGGTGTCTGTTACAGGTCACCAGACTAGGATGAGGAAGCTGACGAGGCCTCCTACTGATAGCAGCCTCGTGATCACAGGCCCTGCTTATCGTGAGGGATTTCAGCTACCCTGACATTTACTGGAAGGCCTCAGCCAGACACCCACAGTCCCAGAGGTTCCTCCTGTTACAAATGAAGTTTCAACACAATCTGAATTTAGTAATATTTTAAAAGGCAAGTAAACAGCGCTGAGTGCGCGGGAGTCTATGCTCTACCAGCACGTACACACTAACATCGAACTTTCTAAATATACAGAACACTTCTTTTACGTATTAAACCCGAGTACGCCTATAGATATGAATCATAAACACGGCAAAGTTTTTAAAAAAGCAAGTGTTTCAGAAACAATCCTTTAAGTCTATCACTATTAATGTCCATGACTGGGGGAGCAGAGTTGGAGTTGCTAATCCTGGTTGGAGTGCTCCCATATCTTCCATCGCTTCATTATTTTTTCTCAGATCATATAACACTCTCAATTTTCCATTCCTTTTCTTGATTACAAACACCGGATAATTCCAGAGTTAGTTGTGGGAACAACACATCTCGCTTTAAGTTGTTAAGCAACTCGGCCTTTGGCCTTATGTATCCTGTTCCTCCCGGATCGAAGGGAAACATTTCCGTCTCCTTTTCAAGGCCAATAGGGCCTGGCTCAAAAGGCACGTCCGGGTCACCAGGGGTGTAACAGCAAAGGCCTGTGATGGCAGTAGCGGTGGGGGGGTGATGGTGTAGCAGAAGGATCAGTGGATGAGCCCGCAGCTCCCTCACTGTCTGGCAAACCCACGTTTCTGACTGTGGTCCCACACGGCTCTTTAAGGCCTCAGAGATTGTTCACCAGGTGCCGAGCAATCCCACCGCAACCTTGTCGTTTTTAGTTGCAGAGTCCTACACCTTGACCTCAATTTGGTCCATATTTCAGGCTCATAACCTGTCTGATTATTAATAAGGAGAATAAGCTGTAAGGTTATCAGGACAGTCTTTGTTTCCAAGGACGTATGATTCCCCATAATGCGCAGCTGCTTACCAGCGAGGGGCAGTTGTGTGCACGGGTCCGCTTCTCTCAGCTCGAGCTTCTTTCCAGCTCCAGTGCGCCCATTTCCAGCGACTTTCTGTACGAGCTTCTCTGAGCGGTTTGCTGAATTTGGCCGAACCTCTCTTCATGAGGCAATCAATGTGCCTGATCCCGTCCTGGTCTCTGTTCTGCTAGCCTGTCCCTATTCATTCCTTCTTTCTACTTCTTTATTGATGACATAACTTCATCACATTGTGTTGCCTTTTTATCCTGAAGGCAGGCTCCCCTCTTATACCCTTTGCCCCAGTTGTTTCTTTTCAAACAACTTTTCATTGGTCAAAGAACTTTGCATAGAACAGCAACAGCAAACACCCAGCAACTTCCATGCCTGAATGGCTGGAGAACAAGAAACCAGATGGAGAACAAAAAGCAGAAGACTGCATGGAGCCTCCTGGATCACCATTTGTTCCCACTACACTTTTTTATATTCCTGGTGGCCTCATCGTTAAGAGTCTGATATTATCATTAACCATGAGGTTTGCCAACTGTTGCAGGAAGAACGGCCAAAAACATGACAGACGCTAGTATGGTCAGATCATGCTGCCATTTATTACCCGAATAGCCTGACTTCTATAGTAAAATTAACAGGGCGGATAGTGTATCAAAAAAGATGATCGGTCAAAAGCACTCAGACAAACAACTGCAAGAAAACAACCCAACCTGCAAGAAAACAACCCCTTGGAATTAGCAGTCATGTACATCCCATCCTTGAAGCCAGCTGCTGGCAACAATATTTTTCTAAATTCCTCAATTGGGCTGTGTGGGGACTTCTCATAGTCGTCCTGGTAGCTTGGTTTGCTCAGCTGCACCAAGCCATGGGATCTTTGCTGTTTCAAAAATCCCTCAACAGCCCACCCCATGGCCACGCTCCACATCTCCCCCTTCTTTATTAATATCAACCACTTTGACACAAATTATCACTCCATATATCACACTCCAGTGCACTGATGATAACTTCCAGATGCAAATGGTGGACGTGCCAACTAGGAGAGGAGCACTGCTGGGTCTTGTCCTCACCGGCAAGGAGGGGGGGTTGAAGTGGTGAAGGCTGAGGGCAGCCTTGGCTTCAGTAGGGCCAACTTTGGCCTTTACAAGCAATTGCTAGGGGAAGTCCCACGGGAGAGGGTACTTGGAAGAGGATGTAGGGAGGCAACCAGGAAAGCTCCGGCCTCCCTAGAATTACACCTGGCGAGAGGGGTCAAGGACAACAGAAAGGGCTTCTTCAAATTCATTGTGGATAAAACTAACACTAGAGGCAATTTAGGCCCACTGCTGAATGAGGTGGGTGCCCTGGTGACAGGAGACGAAAAGAGAAGGCAGAGACACAAAACTGGGAGGAGTGGCTGACAGGCCGGAAGGCCGTGCTGCCATCCAGATAGACCTGGCAGGGAGAAATTCAATGAAATATGAGGGCAAGTCCTGCACCTCTGAAACCTCATTTCTCAAAATCCTTTTAGCAGGGCAGAAGCCAGGCCATCAGCTCCATCACAGGGGTGAACACAATGTGCCTGGCCTGTTTCCTCTTGCCTTGGGTTTTGGCTCTCTTGGGGTGAGGATGCTGGGCTGGGCACTGCTTGGAGTGATCCAGAAGCTGCTCCATGGTTGAAAAGGCTTTTTTCTTCTTTTCCTTCAGATGCTGCTCTGATGTTTGCAGGGGTCCATGGAAGCCAGCTGGATGCTGCCAGGAGGTAATGTCTCTCTGGAGTGGGCCCATCCTCCAGCACAGGTTCTCCTCTGCATGAGAAGCTCCTTTCCCACCAGCCTCAGGCTGTCTCTAAAACAGACCATGTCTCTGAAAACAGACATCGTGAAATCTTTGTATCACTGCTGAGACTCATTATAGAAGAGTGTCCGAGATGTGAATCTAATTACAGGACATTATATTTGTCCCTTTGACAAAAATATCAGCTCCTCCCCCATCATCTTTGCTCCAGTGCTTTGCAAAACAGTAGGAAAAAATAATAATATAATAAAATAAATAAAAAAAAAGAGCAGTAAATTTGGTCTCTGTCATCCAAAAGCCAATGATTGCATCTGAGCTCTGCAAGTCAGCCTCGAGCAGTGTTGCACCCCTCTGCAAACTGTGTTAGGTGCAGACAGTTTTCTTGTGATCTGTTGCACAAAGGGAACGGGATGTGATTGGGGTTTTCCAAGTCCCCACGATGACGGATATGGCAGGTGCAGAGCCTGCAGCCACACACAAGCTCAGGAGCTAAATCTTCCCGAGGAAGTGAGGGAGGGAGCTCAACCAGAGAAGTGTTTCTGTACAGGCAGGGGCATGGCCGTCACGGGCAGCGGCTCTACAAATGGGTGTTGAAGGGACAAGGCAGAGCTGTAGCACTGCCAAGCTGCAGTGAAGGGAGGGCTGCAGAAAGCACCAGCACTGCTGCCTGTGTTGCCATGGGCTGGCAGCGTGTGGGAAGTGCTGATGGTGCTGAGGGTGCTTTTCACGGTGTCGTTCCCAGGCTGGTCCATCGCTGCTAGTGACCCTGCTGAGAGCGTTGCTGCAGAAGGAGCTCAACCCTCGTGGCGGTTTGAAAGCACCTGTGGCTCTTTGCCATGTCCTTCGCAGGCTGTGAGTGTGAGAGGGGACTTGTCCTTGGGCTGGGTACCACGCAGCCCTCCTGCTGCAGCAGACCTGGGAGAGGTGGAGAGCGGGCACCTGCAGCATTTCCACGCTCGCTTGCACCTCTGTGCTGCAGAAGGGCTGGTCGAGGCGTGAGCATCCTGGCAGGTGCCTCCCAGTGCTGCAGCCTGGGTCCCACCAGGTTCGGGTGCTGAGGGAACTGGGTGAGGTCCAGGGGTGAAGCCACGCTGAATGTGGTCCCACTGAGCAGCTCCTGACATGAAGGAAGGAGCCTGATTCCTGTTGTTTTCATTCCAAAAAGCAAGGAAATACTTGAACCAGTTACGAACCATTTTTATAACGTGCCCATAATGTTATGATTTTTTTCTTAAAAAGAAAAAAGGGAGGACGGAAATCAGATGTGCACAATGGGTTTCAAGAAGTCAGTTGGGGCCTTTCCAAGAAGAGCATAAGAGCAGCTTAATTTGTCCTTTGGCTTTTGCTTAGAAGTAACCCACCCTGCTCTGGCTTCTCTCCTGTTTCCAGACCTGCTGCTGCTTTTGCAGGTGTCCTGTTTGCAGCAGAAATGACAAGCTCTGGGCAGAGGAAGGATCCTCTGTCACGATGCACGCACCGGCTATCAGAACATGCTTTGGCCGAGTGGGAATACATAAGAAATGACCCCAATTAATCCTGGATACGCACAGTCGCAGTCACCACATTTACCCAGCTTACAAAGGCAGAGTGGTTTTCTACGAAAACAACGGCTCCCTTGTCCTGCAGAAGCTGCGAGAGACGGACAGTGGCATCTATAAAGCAACAGTTAACTTGTTGCAGGACAAAGCAACAACAACCACTCTTACAGTGATCAGTAAGTCAAAAATTGGTTGAAAGGATGTTTTTCTCTGACCATCAGTAGGATTTGCCATCAGTAGGTGCACAGGTATGCCTCCCCCGAAGTGGACTAGAGGAGGACTTTCTGGTTTCATTACTGCCTTGAATGACATAGACTGTCATTCAACCACTCCTGTCGTATCCCAGCAGCAGCAAGGGGTATGCCTGTGCGAGCTGTGCCCAGGTAGAAGAGCTGCTCAGCCAGGTTGCGGAGCTTTGTGGGGAGGTGAGCAGGCTCTGGAGCATCAGGGAGTCAGAAAGGGAAATTGACTGGTGGAAGCATACTCTGCCCTCCGTGAGACAGGCTCACGACCTGCCACAGCACGAGTGTCTCCTGCCACGCAGAAGACAAAAGTTCCCCCATCCTGCCAGGGAATAGGAGGGGACCTAGGCCAAGGGGGGAATGGAGGCGGGTTCCTGTTCGGGGTGGTAGGCGAGCCCTGTCCTTGCCCACCTCACCCCTATATCACAGGTATGAGGGTCTAGAACACGACAGTCAGAACAGCGATAGACAAAAGCCTGTCCCAGTTGGAGAAGGTGCCTAAGGCAAGGCAACCTACCCCCTGCATTGCTACATCGTCTGTCAAGAAAGACAGAAGGGTTATTGTCCTGGGGAACTCCCTTCTGAAAAGGGACAGAGGGCCCGATATGCTGAGCAGACCCAGCCCACAGGGAGGTCTGTTGCTCCCCGGAGCTCGGGTGAGAGACTTCTAAGAAAGTCAAGCGCCTGGTACGGCCCACCGACTGCTACCCTGCTGGTCTTTCAGGCTGGTAATGACGAGGTAGCAACGAGAAGTCTGAAAGCAATCAAAAGGGACCAGGGGCACAGGTTGTGTTTGCCTCTGTCCTTCTGATAGGGGGATCGATGTGACAAGCGGGCTCACCACATTAACATGTGGCTTTGCGACTGGAGCAACCAGAAGGAATACAGGGACGCTGTTCGTGTTTGCAGGGAGAAAATTTGTGTGGGCAAAGCCCAACTAGAGTTGAAGCTGGCCATGTCTGTAGGAGACAATAACAAAGTTTTTTTTAGATATATGAACAGAAAAAGGAGGACCAAAGAAAACATAGGTCTGCTACTTGATGGGGAAGGTCTCCTCACAGACAATGACATAGGCAAAGCAGAGATGTTTAATGCCTTCTTCACCTCTGTCTTCAACACTGACGTTGGGCTTCTGGACCCAGGGTGCCCGGAGCTGGAGGACCATGACGTGGGAATGACAAACTCCCAACGAACCCTGAACATGTGTGGGATTTGCTGCTCCACCTGGAGCCAAACAAGCCCATGGGTCCGGATGGGATCCATCCCAGGGTGCTTAAGGAGCTGGGTGATGTCATCGCAGGACCTCTCTCAATTATTTTTCAGTGATCTTGGGAATCTGGAGAGGTCCTGTAGACTGGAAGCTGGCAAATGTTGTGCCAATTTTCAAGAAGGGCAAGAAAGAAGATCCTAGCAATTACAGGCCTGTCAGTCTCACGTCAGTAAACTGGTAAAATTATGGAGAAGATGATTCTTGAAGTTACTGAAGTGCACTGGGGGACAATGCAGTCATTGGTCCCAGCCAACATGGGTTCATGAGGGGCAGGTCCTCCCTAACAAATTTGTTTTCCTTTTATGATAAGATCACCTGTCTAGTTGACCAAGGGAAACCAGCTGATGTGATCTTTTTGGACTTCAGCAAGGCTTTTGACAAGGTTTCCCTTAAGATCCTACTGGACAAAATGTCCAGCATACAACTTAATAAAAACATCATCCGATGGGTGAGCAATTGGCTGACAGGCAGGGCTCAAAGGGTTGTGGTTAATGGGGCATCTGGCTGGCGGATGGTCACTAGGGGTCCCTCAAGGCTCCATTTTAGGGCCAGTCCTCTTCAATGTCTTTATAAACGATTTGGATGTAAGAGAAGGAGTTTGAGCAAATTTGCCGACGACACCAAACTTGCGAGTTGTGGATTAATGAGGGTGGAAAGGCCTTGCAGAGAGACCTGGACAGATGGAGAGCTGGACAATCACCAACGGCATGAAGTTCAACAAAGCAATGCTGGGTCCTGCACCTGGCTGGCTGTTCGTACTGACTGGTGATGAGATGCTGGAGAGCAGCCCTGCAGAGAGGGATCTGGGGGTAGTGGTTGATAGCAAGCGAATATGAGCCAGCAGTGTGCCCTGGCAGCCAGGAGGGCCAACCGTATCCTGGGGTGCATCAAGCACGATCTGGGGTTTGACCAGTTTAATGCAGGCAATAGTGGAGTCCTATTTTAGATCCCATGAACCACAGAATGGTTTGGGTTGGAAGGGACCTTACAGCCCACCCGGTGCCAGCCCCCTGCCATGGGCAAGGACCCCTCCCACCAGCCAGAATGCCCAAGGTGACATCCAGCCTGGCCTTGGGCACCTCCAGGGGTGGGGCACACATAGCTTGTCTTGACAGCCTGTGAAAGTGCCTCACCATCCTCATAATAAAGATTTTTTTCCTTGTATCTAATATAACCTACCCTTTTTTAGTTTAAAGCCCTTACCCTTGTCCTATCATCCACTCCCTGGCAAAGAGTCCCTCCCCAGCTTTCCTGTAGCCCCCTTTAGGTACTGGAAGGTTGGTAAAAGGTCCCCCCAGAGCCTTCTCTTCTCCCAGCTGAACACCCCCAACTCTCTCAGCCTGTTTCCATAGCAGAGGTGCTCCAGCCCCCTGATCATCTCTGTTGTGGCCCTCCTCTGGACTCTTCTGATACGTCCATGTCCTTGTGCCAGAGCACCCCTCCACCCCACTTCTGTCGGGGGCAGCTTTCTCCTCTTGGAAGTGTCCATAAAGTCCCCGTCATCACTTCCCAGCATAATCCCAAGGTGCAGCTCTGTCGGGTCGGTGTCCGTGGCCCCAGGGTGCCATGCCTGAGCTCCAGGGGCTGGTGCTGCCCACCCCAGGGGAGGTGCCGTGGCTTAAGGGCAGCGGCTGGGACATCGGCTCTGAGCTTGGTGGATGCTGCCCTGCTCCTGCACTTTCTCCCCTGCCAGACTCAACCGAGGCACTGAGCTGAGGTGCGAATGAGAAGGGGAGGTGCCGCTCACCCTGCATGGGGCTTGCTGTTCTGGCATCTCATGCGGGGCGGTTTAAGGTGGGAGGAGAGGCAATCCCAGGCAGTGCTGCCATGTCGCTCTCTGCTTTCCAGAGCCCTTGCCCCAGCCCAAGCTCCTGAGCATCTCAAACCTGGATGGTTCGCTCATCAACCTGACCTGCGTGCTGCCAGAAGGAACGGTGGCTGATGTCTCCTGGAAGAAGGATGGACGTCCCCTTCCTCCCGAAAAGTGCTTCCAGCTCACTGGGAAGAACACTGTGCTGCAGATAAGGAGGCAGAGAAGTCGGATTGTGGCTCCTACTCCTGCATAATCAGCAACTCCATAAGCTGGAAGGAGCAGCCCTCAACCTGACAGTGACAGGTTAGCATTGCCCTGCCGGGGTGGGTCCGGTGGTTTGCCACCTTGTCACAGCAGCCCTGAGCCCACAGGTACCTGGCGAGACCCCAGCAGCTATGCTGTGGTCCTGGGGCTGGCAGGTGGATTGTTCGTTGGGCTGTTGTCTCACTTGGACCTGCAGCCTTTGTGCATTTAGGTGCCAGCTCAAGCCCGCTCTGTCTTCTCATCTCTAGCAGGTCTGGGCACCAGCACTTTGTCTCTGAGACCCTCGCAGGTTTCAGCTTCAGCTGCCTCTCGTGGGATCTGCCACACAAGGAAACCCAGTAATCCTTTAGGGTTTCGAGCTTGGTTGCAGACTCCTGGGATAGCTGCTCCATGTTGTGGGGTTGTCCTCCATGCAGGTCTTACACCTCCTGCCCGTGCTGCACAGATGATGACCACTGCTGCGCTGGTGCTCACTGCCATCTCTGCCGTCCTCTTCATTATCCGGCTCTGTCAGCTGGGGAAGCTCAGACTCGGTGAGTGCCCACGCCTGAGCTCCTCTCTCCATGCCGTGGAGAGGGCAGAAAGCGAGGCAAGCCCCTTCTCTCCTAACTCACCGCGGTAGTTG